TCTAAATTCTGTAATTTAATCACAAAAACCCTCGTTGTGGATAATAAAAAAGAAAGAGATAGTCTTAGCAATGCAAGCCAATGGAATCATATAGTCTCCCTTATGAAAAACTTGATATAAAAGGGCTACTTTTTTACGGAGAGTTCAGTTCAGAAATTACCACCGATACCGTCAGTTCGAAACTTCACCTCATCTACGTTATTTCTACTCGTCATTTTGGATATCAGTGCCAGTTCATAGTGCTTTTTACGGAATCCAGTCATTTGGACGATTTCTATTCTAGTCAAGTGCCGTAAAATTCTACACAAAAAGGAGCACTCATCAACCTAAGGACCTGTGATTTTCCATATAATTGGAAAATAACCATCTTTCCTTTTTGTGGAGGAATCTCATTGTGGGTCTTCGTCACGGCAATTCCGAACTCCGGACCTGTGGTCATTACCTGGGCCCGTCAACCTTCCTGAGACGTATAAAATCTACTGGTACCAGCCCTTTTACCTGCCAAATCAGAAGACACCACAGTGGTCCTATTCATATATCTTACTTCTAATTTTAAAGGTAAGTGTTTTATATTTACACCCCCACTTTTCCTACATTCTCATAAATCTGTAGTAACCATTTGAATTCCTTGTTTCAGTGGAATGCTGAACTCTTTTTTCCTTGGATTGGTTGCTTCAAGATTCTCTCTCTCTTAAAAACAATTTTACCCTAAGTGTTTGTCATAAATAAAGTATAACATTAACATTAAAAATCTCTATTCTCTTTCTTTCCTGTACCCTTAGCTCAGAGTCTTCTGCTCTGTAAATGAAACAGGAATTTACTGAATCACCGAGCGGCCATAAATAAAATAAAATATTATTTCGTTAGTTATTTCTCTATTTCTGAGACGTAACATTAGAAACTACAAAAAAAATTCTGTGTGGGGAATATTCATGCATCCCTTGTTTTTTGCACTTTTAGGTTAGAATATGTCATATGAAAACCTGATGTACAGGGTCAATTCCAAAGCCGGATTCAGATTCAGAAAAAAACCTTCGGGAAAGTATTGTCTGATTCTTGGTTAGAAAATCTTGTCGGCCTATATGTAATCGCTTCATATGATTATAACTCGATCTCGTTAAAATAAATATCGATAGTTTTACTTTGTTTGGATTGAAAAATCGAAAAGGTAGTTATTATCATCGATATATACTGTCGGGATTTACAAAAAAAAAACAGAAAGAAAAAGAAAATAATATATTAGAACTCTATAAGGTGATTTATACATCCCAAGTAATAATAATCAAACTACCTCATGCTCATCGTGTATATTGGATGTATGTTGCATTTGAAATTACAAACGCATTATATGTGTAATACTTTTGCACTCATGTACGCATCTAAGTATCACCATTTCCTTAGGAGTCTATACTTCTTTTTATTCTATGAGTGATTCATGTCATATTAACGATTAATTCTTCCTTGGAGGAAGTATCCAATGTCCATACTATATCCTCTCATTTTTTTTTTATTCAAAATAAAATGTTAGAGGAAAATTCTATCAACATGTTTTCAAAACTTTTATTTTTTCTTCTCTTAACGTGTTTCAACTTTTTTTATTGTATATATATATATTACACTTTAGATAGCATAAAATAGAAAAAGCAAAAAATAAATTACATTTTATAAAATAAAACTAAATTTTGTTAATATTATCTAGAAATGAAATATTTGTATATTTGCAACAAAAGTTGAGATGAAATTTAAGAAATTTCTAACGGTGTTATATTTTATATATATAGTAAAGACTTTTTAAAACCTGTTTACATATATGTTCTATGTTTAACTTATATTCTATCATTCCTCCAGCTTTTTAGAGGCTTGGAAATTTAATTGCTTTGTGCAAGTGCAATAATTTCCCTCTGAAAAAAATACAATTATTCTTACTGATAGGTAAAATAATACGTTTTGATAACATAAATTAATTTAATTTATGCCGAGTGAGTGATTAATTAATTGAAAAAAAAAAATTTTTTTCTGCCTCGCACGATTAGGTGATCAGGAACGATATTACTTTACGCTAGATTCACGTTTATTTACACACTATATATACCTATACTACCTTGTTGGATTGAGAAAGTGGTTTTTCCCATTCAAAGAGTTGCGCGCGGATAGTCAGTGCAGTGTGCATAAACCGTAATAGTAAAGAAAAAAAACTGTCCAATTTCTATTTATAGAAATCCAGATGCTTTTTAATCACCAAGACAAGTTCGCTCTTTTAGAGGACAGCTAAAAATCCCAACTGGTTTTAAAACGTTTTCTTTTCTCTCTCACTCTCTCTCTCCCTCTCGAATTACTGCGCGCGATATAAAGTTTGCAAACCTGCTACTCAACAAATTATATATTTCCAATTAAACTTCTCTGCACGCAACGCGATAAATGGTTTCATTAAAAATTTGCCTTAAATCTAATTGTAAAAACGGTTATATTCATTACTTTATTTTTAGAATCTAATATTGGTTTTGTTTTTTTTTTTATTTTTATTTAAATTGGTGAAGAAAAATGTTTTATTTTGACATTTTTGCTATTTCTTGCGTGGTAGCTGATTATGAATCCAATGTCAGTTTTTCAAAATTAAAAATGACAGATTTAAAGCACACTAATAAATTTTTATGTTACGTCACGGCATAGAAATAAAGGTTAAAACTATAAAAGCTCGTCACCAACATTTCTGATAATTACGCAAAATACAAATAAAATTATAAAGAGTTAAAAATAATTAAAAAGTTAATCTCAAAATTTAATCAATCAGTCTTTGATATGCTCCAAATCGTAAAATCTAAGACTTGTTAAAAATCCGAAAGTCTAATCTCAAGGAATTATTAGTTTAGGAAGGGAATCAGTTTCTGATTTTTCGCGAACAGGGACCGAAAAGGGATTGATTAAAAAAAGCTGGACGACGCTCCGGGTAGCCGAGTCGTTCATTCCCATTCTTAAGAAAAGTTGCGAAATAATTCAAGGTGGAGGGAAAATTTTGGAAAAGGAGAGAATTTAGGTTTCTGATTTGCTGAAAGACAAAAAATAATATCATGCCCTATAAAAACACAAATTGAGTATTAAATACTCTTAGGGTCCACGTGGACCAGGTACACGCTGAGGTGGAGGTGCAATAAAATTATTTTGAACAAAAATAATAGAATTTTGGAACCAGAAATGATCTTCTTAAATCTGTGTGTAATCATGACTAAATATGTTGTAATATACACCAAACTGCCTTGCTGCAAAACGGAGAAATTTATTTTGAACACGCTCTAATTTCAACAACTGGTAATCTTGGTAAGGAACCCATAATATTATTGCAAAATCTAATTTTGATCTGGCTAAAGCAAAATACAATGATTTTAATACTACTAAATTCTCAAAATGACACGCATTTCTTTGGATTGAGCCAATTACTTTGAGTGTCACGTTAACAGGATTAGTAATATGAGTATCAAACTGTAGATTAGAAGAAAAAGTGACCCCCAGGTCACTCAGGCTGGTAACCTTTTTATAAATTTTTAGATCATTCGCAAATAATAAGTGAATGCAATGCAATATCTCTGAGGAACACCAAAAGTTTTGATATTCTGGGACGTCACAAATAGTAATAATAGAAGAAAAAGTAGAGTACAAATTATCCAACTGAGTAAATACTATAAAAGAGAGTATATGTGAACGCTGTAATTGCAGCAGAATCAGAAAAATCGAAAATGTATTTAATTATAATTTTGACAAATAAAGGCGTGAATCTAAAATATGCTTGGACCTAATTACAAAAAAGAGAGAGAGAGAGATCATAACTTGGCTATAACTAATTTATTCATTCCCATATAAGATTCTATAAGAAACTTGGAGGAGAGAAGAAGGTGGCGGGATAAAAAATGACTTAGTTAATGTTTGCATAATTTATTATTCGGTACTCGTCTCTCTCTATATAACAACGAACAAACAAAGGCGTGACTGGAGCACGTGCCCGCATATGTTTCATAATTATTATTGTCGAGTAGAATTATCTACCTGTGTGGCACTTCTTATTTGGCTTGTTGGACATACCATTTAGAGACTTTACCATAATATACAGTATATCATACATATATACCTTCTTTATTTTCTTCTTCACTAAACACTTTTTGCTTTGCCATACTTCTACCAATTCTATATCAATTATTATTATTTCAAAATGCACTCATTTACCAAGTTATTATTAAACTCAGTGAATATTATGAGCTGTGAGTCAGAAATGTCGTCTTAAATGCTGAAACAATTAAGCAGTAATTAACGCCTTTGCGACTTGATGACGACGAATCATTTGAGAATTTCTTCAAGAGCAACTCAATCGTTTTAGTGATTTTTTTTTCAAAATTCTCATGATATTTTTAATTGATTCGTACAAGTTGTACTTAAATATATAAACTTATTAATTTAAAGTATTCTAAAATAATAATACAATTTATAACCACAATTAGTATATATATTTTTGACATTATAAAGTGTTGAGAAATTTTTTAGACGAATTCCAGGGATGCAATCCTAATTCGAATTTATCTTCGTCAATTATAGACAATGCGGAAACGGCTTTATTGTCACAGTTATTACACTCGTCTCATATATACACATGTTCTCCTTATTTTCATTATATAATTGCAACAGGTGTGCCTTCAACCACGTGTTGTGACCGCATTCACGATATTATTTTTAGAAAAACGATAGTTGTATTGCGAAAGGGCTCCGTTCATCGAATATACTTGTTTTCCTTATGAATCAAGCAGCATATTATATACTAATACATATGTTAAATTATAAACTATATCAAGATATAGAAGCTAAGGTCGAGACACGATTTTGAGGTTAGGTGAATTTCATATACTTGATATAGAAAATGAGTTTAGAAATTTTTGTAACATAATATTTCAATTTTATAGATTTGAATATTGTTGAAGGAAATAATTAAAAATGATAATTAATTAGAGATTTGTTGTGTTGAATGTTTCAGGTGAGCGGGAAGGGAGGCGCTGACCGGTGGCGGCGGCGGCCATGCGCCCCGGCCCGCCAATCACGAGCCGTCGCAGGCCTCCCCGTCGCCAGCAGCTACCGCCGCATCGTCTCAATAGATCCAAGTCTCAAGTGCAACAGATTAAACGGCAATTAATCATAAACAATAAAGCCTTTTTTCTGTTGTTCCTGTTGGTTTCTAATCCGATTCTTGCCCTGGCAGAACCGCCGCCTGCCAATGCACTTCCAGGTCTTGATACCAACGATCAACAACAGCAACAAAGGAAGTGCTTCTCGTCGGACGGGGGACAACGTTATAGCTTACCGATGTCAGAGGTCGCACCACGTAAACAACAAAATCTAACTATCGGTTATCTGACGGCCGCTAAGGGTGTCATGAAAGATCGAAAGGGACTTGCCATCTCGGGTGCACTCTCTATGGCTCTAGATGAGGTATGTTTGTTGATGCTTTTTTTAAAATTTTTTTTTAAAACGTGTACATATTGCCTAAACACTTTAAAAACGCATGTTCCCCAGCTACGTAAACCTGACAGCACCAAAGCATCGGATCATGATGGGACCTAGTTAACAATTTAGGGCTAATTTAATGCCACAAACAAAAAATTTTGGCTCTTTATTTAAAAAAAAAATGCATGGTGCTGTCAGCTTTACTCAAATCTGGAAGCACCACTGCTGAAAACCCCTTTAAAAAAGACAGAAAGCAAAATTTAATATCAGGAAAATTTTCCGCTTAATTACGGCTCCAAGTTTCTAAAAAAAATGTTCTTCTATACTTAAATTTTGAAAAAATAACAAAAGGACAAAATTTTTACTTTCAAAATAAAATTTGAAATACCGCTAAAATACAATTACAAACATTTTTATTTGTTTTTATTTAAGAAAAAAGATAACAAACACACAAAATTAAGTTTCTCTATTCAAAAAATTAACACTTCAATAAAAAAAGGTTTACAGGTTCAGTCAAAATTATTAATGAAAAACATTACCTAAGCAAGAAAAAGGGCAAAACATTTACTCATTTTCAAATGCACACCTGTATACATTTTCGACACTTTACAGAATATAAGCTTATACAAATGTTAGTTAAAATCCTTATATAAATTGAAAAAGGTTTATGAAAGGATATTTACAATTAAATTTTAATTTTTGGATACATTCATTTAAACCAGTTTTAAAGTTTGCTCTTTTTGATATCCTAATAAAGAAGGCTCAATTAATGTTAACGTCAACAACAAATTATTACTACAAATTTAGGGCTTTTTTAAGAAACATTAAAGGTTCTACTACACTGAGAGACTTTTTGCACCGTAACAGACTTTCGATAGACGGCTGCGGAGCATTCTATAGCGGTCAGCTATGAAACTACGTTTTTGGTCTGCAGCCGTACAATTTTTGGAGCGTAGCTGTCCAAAAAATTGACGGCCGAAAGGTTCATTTTCATTTTTGGGCAGTCACGATACAAAATTTAGGATGCAGCGCACCAAAACCTATAGTGGCGCTGCAGTCACACACGTAGTTCTGATGCGGTGCAAAAGGTCTCTCAGTGTACAGTTACTTATTTTTAACTTGGAGTCCTAAACTGAGAGAAGAAAAGCACAGAATCCGTACTGCGACAAACGCCGGCCATGTAAAATGGATGTCAGTATCCGTTCTTTAGTTTTGTTCAGTTTGTGTCGTTCATAGTTCAGATACTAAGCTCTAGCAGCGCGGCAGCGGTGTGGACTAAGTTATACGGAATCAAATATATAACAAAGTTTATTATCAACACACTTTTTAATTTTATTAGATGTCAACAAGCATTTTCCATGTTCAAAGTATGAATAAAATTGATGAAAGTGGAAACTAATTTTCTTCCCCAAAAGAATAACATTGTGTCGTCTGTTTGTTGTCCCTCCAGGCTTCTGACGTCACAAGTGACAGAGCCTAATATGCACAAAAAATTCAGTTACTACCCAACTCTGCTTTCGTGCAACAATACAGACGTTGAGTTGTAATTTCCCAGTTCTGATTATTTATGCACTGTCGTCAGCTGTCAGTTGTATTAGTCAAAGATATTTTTATTAATAGACAATAATTATAGGAAAAATATGTCCACGTGCAATTACTTATTTATATAAAATTTGTGGATTTAATAAGTTAAGTGTAAAATAACTAATATTTTTGTTAAAATTAGACAGTTTACTCAAATATGACATCCATTTTTCTAGTAATATTTTAGTAACATTTTTATCCATCACAAATTTATCCTTTACCCTGTATCCTAACGACTTTTATCCTCTATCTTTACAACTTTTTACCCTCCTTTTTTTCTGTGATACGAAATTAAATTTTCGATATTTTAGAAAGAAAAATCAGAGTTTCTAAATAAGTGCTCCGGCGATTATTTTCATTTTTATTGCAAAATCATCTGTTTACACTCTAGAATCAAAATCCACAAGAAAATCCCAGGTGCAAAAACCTTTGGGTTAAATCAGTTTCAAGCTCACCGTGCGTTAGCGCACTTAAAAATTATCTATAGGTTTAAAAAAGAACAAAACTTAAAAAAGTATCACATTACATTTCCTTTTACATTTTATAAATAAAATCATTTATTTGTATTTTTTATAAAAAATTAAATGTTGCTTATATTTTATTCATTGTTGGAGTTATATATTATTAAATAAAATATCAAAATGAATTCATCAACAAATAAATTTGCAAGCTATTGGATGCGAATCTAGGCTTAAATATTAATAAATAAATGGAATAATAAAAGTAATATTTAATTAAATTAATAATGATTGATTACAAACGTTTATTTTATTTATTTTAAAACATTTTGTTTACATATTAATTTCATATGAAAATTGATTTTATTAAAAAGTAGAGGTATATTACATAATAATTCTGTCACATAAATTATATATGTAAAATAGAAATCAGTCACTCACTGATAGGAATTCTCTTATATAAAAATAAAAAATATATATAAATAGAACCGATCTTAAAAATATTTTCATAAGATTGGTCTCTTAGAAAAACGAATTAATTTTTTATTTTTCTGTATATATATAAAACTCTTAGAGTCAAGGAACCTTTAATTTATTCTTTCTTGGAATACATTTTTAATGAATATTTTTTTGTATTATGTCGTTTATGAATATATTCTATATACTATATATTAAAATAGAAATACAAGAAGACCAAATTTTACGAAATGTAAAAATATCCAAAAAGAATCATAAATTTTAATTAATTATTATTATAGATTCGTGAAATGTGAAGAAAATGAAAAGTTTTATTAAAAATTCTTTATTTGTGTGAATTTTATAAATATACGTATTTTATTTTTAGTCTGCCTTTTATTTTCCGCGATTCTGAGAAATATTGTTCAATTTCTTATAGTCACTTTTATATTGAAATAGAAAAAAAACGATGTAAATAATTTAGAGAAAAAAATTTCAAATTTTTAATCGAATGTAAATCAAATTTTTCATTGTTCCAATTCAAATAGTGTCAAAAAATTATTGTAGATATATTCAAAAAAAAGTATTTAAGGTCAGTTAAAATTTTCGTTCATTTGACTTCTTAAAACGGGAATTATTGTATAAGTATTTTAAGAAAGAATTTGTAATTAGTATACACATTCTTTTGTTTTTAAGCTTAATTACCGAAACAACAGTTTTTAAATGAAACTTCTTTTATAAAATGAACAAAATAGTTTTGTTAATATACATATACATTAAACCTTATTTAACTTATTGCAATTATAAAAAATTGTTACTTAACTTAGATGACACATTTAATTCGACTTCAATTTTTTTCTCTGTCAAAAATAATTTTATCAATTCAACATTAAACAATTTATTAATTTTTTTTATTTATTATAAGTTTATTATTAATTTAATTATTATTATAGTGACTTCATGAGAAATTGCATGCTTTTTTTAAATTTAGCGCCATTATCGACGTGTCGCTCTTGTTTTACTTTCACCGCGCGCGAATTTAAAGTTTATATACTCTAGATATATATATAGGTAAATAGTTCTCCGCTATTTGGACCTAATTTGATTTTAATAAGACACAATCAACATATTCATATTACCAATAAATTCTTTTAAAAAAAAATAAAAGTTGGAAATCCCATATTGAAGGTTTATGATTAACTACAATGTAACGTGTAATTATAAAATAAATATGATTCATAGATTTGTGCATTAGACTTAACAATTACGAGCAAATTACAATTCCAAATGAGGATTCTAATAACTAACTCAACTCTCTTAACCCATTAACGTATCAGCTACACCCTTTCCATGATATATTATCACATCTCGTAGCAGGGCCGTATTAAAGATTAGCCTTCAGGGGGGTAAATGTAAAATTCTCGGTCATAATTTATCCAGCGTGAGGAGAGAGAGAGAGAAAAAGAATCGTGGTATATTAAAGTTGAGCGGGCAAAGGGGATTCCTTAATCACTTGTTTAATAAGAAACAGGCGTCCTCTCTTCTTCTTTCATTCTTCTTGGGTGGGTTTTATATTCCTTGGCTAAAAATAAGTCTTCTCTTGCTTCACGGTGAGTTTGCCACCCAGAGTAGCCGCCCCTGGGCGTATACCTACCCTCTCGTTACACACGTATATATATATATATATATATATATATACATATAGACCAGTTAGCCAGGTTCGACGACGCGACGCGTTCCTTTTCGTACTTGGATATATATTCGATTCCCACGATCGTACGAGAGTGCTGGTGGTGCAAAAGCAGCCGTGAGATCGCCTTGGTCGTTTGCATGGTTACGCCAAAAGAAAGCAGTTTGTGTGTATGTGTGTGGCTTGCAAAACGACTCGCCCACCATTTAGGTATAGTCGATACTCGATTCGGAGGTTAAAAATACAAGCCCAGTATTATTCGCTGGTCCGCCCACGCGTGCCAAACCAAACTGCGTAACCGTGAGAAGAATTTATGAAGTTCAACTTTGCAAACGTTTATTAAAGCAGAGGGGACTCACTAGAAAAAAAATAAAAGAAGAATACACTCTTCATGATCATAAATGATAAAAACTTTGAATAATTTTCATTGCTAGTAACTCATCAGTGTTCTCAATGTAATTCTTCTTTTTTTTGCAGTTTGGAAAAAGATGCTTTAATCTATAGTTCCGTATAATCCGGAAGTAGGTTTAAAGAATGCTTAAGGATGGAAACAGTCTTTTGTAGATAACTTAAAAAAAGACAGTTTTTACAATCAAAAATCTTTGAAATGACTACTACATTATTGAATAAAATGCGAAAACGCAGTTTTTTGATCAATAGAAGAAAAAGTGATTTTTATTAAGCCAGTTAAAAAGCAGAATTTTGTAAGTCACCAAAAAAATAGTTTTCCAAATCAACAATTTTCGAATTCATATTTACATTATTAAATAAAGTACAAAAACACAGTTTTTTGATCA